GAAGTAAAGTTAAAGGTCTCTGGAGGAGAAGCCCTGGGTGAAAAGAGAGCATCCATGCAGGTGTGGGAGTTGCATAGGAGGATGTTAGAATATGAGGAATGATGGGAGACTCTGAACCTTGTTAGGCTCACTAACGAACTGAAAACAGGATAGTGGGCATTTCATAGAAGCAGAGTTTTTAAAAGATCCTGGAGTAGTTCTAGCATGGGGAACTGGATAAACACCAACTGGATAAACTCCTGCCCCAAGCTGGGAAAGTGAGCAGCTTCTCCTAGAGAAGGTGTCAATAACTCTCTGGGAAGAAAGACGAAGAGCTGAGGGTTTAGACACAAAAAGATGCCATGACTTGCCCAAAGTCACCAAATAAGAAACTCGGGTTTTGGGACGCCTGGGTGGCTCAGTCGGTTAAGTGTCTGCCTTCGGCTCAGGTCATGATCCCAGGGTCCTGGGATTGAGTCCCACATCGGGCTCCTTGCTCGGCAGGGAGCCTGCTTCTCCATCTGCCTGCCACTCCCCCTGATTGTACTGTCACTCTCTCTCTCTCTCTAGCAAATAAACAAATAAAATCTTTAAAAAAAAAAAAAAGAAACTCAGGTTTTATGAATATCCCTTGGTACTTAAGGTTCTAATACTTGCCATAGGCTTCCTACTGCAAGTACTTGCAACTCTCTGCCAAGGGCTTTCTATGGCTGCATGGCAAACAGAATGGGCAGGAGAAGACTTGTGCCCTGGGACCAACACTTAACAAATAATGGAAGAAGATGGTGGATACATGCCCAGGTTCCTTTGCCCCCAGATAGGACAACTCTAAGTTATGTTCTATACAGTTTCCTAAAGTCCCCAGAGGGACTGAGCTACAGTTGTCCACACCTGCTCATTAACGCATCCTGCATTGGTCTTTCCTCGTTCGTCTTGTGCACCCCCCGCCCCGATTAGCTTCCTGAGATTGTGTTGCCTAATCAAATGCAGGATGCCCATCTATACTTGAATTTCATATGAACAACATTTTTTTTTATTTTATTATGTTATGTTAATCACCATACATTACATCATTAGTTTTTGATATAGTGTTGCACGATTCATTGTTTGCGTATAACACCCAGTGCTCCATTCAGGAGCCCTCTTTAATACCCATCACCAGGCTAACCCATTCCCCCACCCCCTCCCCTCTAGAACCCTCAGTTTGTTTCTCAGAGTCCATAGTCTCTCATGGTTCTAAACAACAATTTTTTAGTGTAAGTATATCCCAAATATTGCATAGGACATAACTTATACTAAAAATTTTGTTGTTGTTTATTTGAACTTCAAGTTTAGCTGAGTTCCTGCGTATTTATTTGCTAAATCTGGCAGCCCTATTTGGGATTGCCTTTCAAATAATCTATGTGTATTCCTAGCCTTGCCTCAAGATCTGCTTCTGATGGAGCCCAAAGTAAGACAGCAATTATTCCAGAAGGATAAACTTTGAAGAAGAAAACAAACTTGAGAAGCAGCATTCAAATAAGACTGAAATTATAAATGACTGTCCTTCTCTTGCCAGCTCTAAAGTTACTAAACCAGTCTCAGCACATTTAGCTTGATTTGTAAAAGCCATCACCTCATCAGAAAAGCACCTGTTATCCAGTCACCTTTATTAAACTCAATGCCAAGTATCATTAGTGCAACAATGCCATGATGACATGTATTCATTCCATCACCAAATGTCCTAAATGTCTATCACTGGAGAACAGTCTCTGTTTCAATAAAATAATATAACTGAATAGGAAAAGGGGAGGCCATGCATCCCTGGTGATCTCCTTGACCCACCACTTCCTAGCAATAAGTTGGGCTTGATTACATCAACACTGGGGATCCCAGATGCATTATTATTAATGAACTTTCAAACTGAGGCTTGTTTGTTAATAATTTAATTAAAACCCCAAGTGTTTACTTGTTGCTGTTCCTCCCAAGAGATCCCCCTGCAAATTCTGCATAGGAGCTGTTTCACTCATCTACCCCAACAGCATCGCCAACATTTCCCAAGCTGATATTCACTATACCCTAATTCCTTATTTCCATGAAAGCATCCAAGCCTTGATGGTGATGGTGTGTGGTTTCATTTCTCATCAGTGTAAAACTAGGCCTTTCAGAGTATCTGCATTTCGCCAACCTGTCTGGTGATTCCTGTGTCTTGAATTTCAATAGCGGAAGTTCAGTTGTTTATCACTTTTGTTCATGTGCAGTGAATACAAATCATTGGTGCTAATGTGAAGTTGTGTTCAATTCAGGTATAAAACTTGTTCAAGTATTGAACAAGATTGTTGGTTTAATGAATATGTGGTAACTTCTCTAAATATTTGAAATGTTATCCCATCAGTGCAATCTAATTTGGGCATCCACACTATCATTTATGTCTCTATTTTTTTTTTAATTTAAACTATTTAAACTAAAATGAAACAAAAAAGCCCAGCTCACCCATTTCTCTCATCTTCTCACCCCTGCCTCTGGCAAGCATCATCAATCTGTTCTGTTGTCTGTATCTATGACCTTGTTTTCTTTGTTATAAATTCTATGTATAAGAGATAATACAGTATTTGTCTTTCTCTGTCTGACTTATTTCACTTAGCATAATGCTCTTGAGGTCCATATTGTCACAATGGCAAGATTTGCTTGATCATATGGTAGTTCTATTTTTAATTTTTTGAGAAAACTCCATACTGTTTCCCATAGTGGCTGCACCAATTTACATTCCCACAAAGGTTCTCTTTTCTCCACATCCTCGCCAGCACTTGTTATTTCTTGCCTTTTTGATACTAGCCATTCTGCCAGGTGTAAGGTGTTATCTCATTGTGGTTTTGCTTTGCATTTCCATGATGATTAATAATACTGAGCATCTTTTCATGTACCTTTTGGCCATCTGTATGTCTTCTTTGGAAAAATGTTTATTCGGATTGCCATTATTTTCATGTAATACTGGGCTCTTTTATCTCACCAATAGATAGTACCAATCTGTGGCAGTATCAGCAAACCTCAGGGCTGCTAACAGCACTTGAGTCACTGGGAAATGCTAGTGAAGTTCACTTCAAAGAAAATAATTCTCACTTTTATATGCATTCTGAGGATTTCCTTTTGATTTCCACGGTGAGCCAATGGACTTCAAAGTGTCCTTTCAGGATCACTTAGAAGGCCAGAGACTCATCGTGTCCTGATTCATTGACTTTGCTCTGTGCTCGGCACTTGTTTGAAATCTGTGGGGTTCTGTCTAAAAGAAGCTCAATAGGCAGCAGAGAGAGGCAAGTGTCTAGTCTCAAACCTCCCTTGTAAAATGATTACAAAACCAAGTGGAGACTGGGGAACTGGGTATCATCTTGACAATGAGTCATCTTCTGAAAATGAGTACTCAGATCCAGCATGGCAGGAGAATGGCTACAAAGGAAGGCACTTTATAAAGGCGCTCACATCTTCCTCCCCTGCCTGTGCAAACTTCACCATTTTGAAATCTCAAGAAGTTGGTCCTACACCAGAGTTTGAAGGCGAATGATCTCCTGATTCACAAATCATTCAATTGTTTGAATATAAATGGAAATCAAGATGGATGGAGATAACTATCTTCGTTTACTTTCATCACACACTCCTAATTGTAGTTCAGGTTTTTTCCTATAGAATGAATGAATGGCAGAAACCCTGCCCAGGAGAGCTCTAAGGGTTCCATAACAACGCACAGAATTGCACTGAGCTTCCTCCTTATCTGCTTCTTTCTGAGGTCAGCATTGTTCTAATAATAAGGACCAGATGGTTTTTCTATTAATGGCAACTTAGGGCAATATATACTTCATAAGACCAGTCTGAAGAACCATAGTCCTGCTGTCTGCTTTCCTTGTTCCTTGTGGTTGATCCTACGCGATATTTGAACATGACACAGTAACATAGATCGATTGTGTGGCGGGCATCAATGACCAGGCATCCCAGGCTTTGCACCTCACCCATGACTGAGGGCTCCCCACCCACTCAGACTCTAATTCAACTTTGTAATTAAATTTATTTAACTATTAAACACATTCTGAGTGATTTTTACATCATTTAGTGTCTAGACTATGCTCATATGACATAAGACGAAATGGCTGATACATGCAAAAATTCACACAAAGTGGGAATTTATCTTTCTGGGGGATTAAGCCACTTAGCTGTTTCATGGAATTCAACACTTCATTTTTAAAAATGACTTTTCTTTATCACTTGAACTTAGTTGGGCATACCAATGTTTGCCAAGAGGAAAGTTTTTTCATAATGCTAATGTCTTCAGACCACACATTTGTATCCTTCATGCTGTCTCACCTTCATAGGAATTTGGAAAGACCTGAGTTGAAAAATCAAAATTCATAGGCATCGCCCCCAAAACTTTTTTTTTTTTTTGCCACTGTTTGTAGAGCACACCTCAGAGTCTTGGGAGCCTGTTGTTACTATACAGTTTTTCCAAAGACCCAGGGCAAGGGTCACATCATTTTAATCTGGGAAATGACCCTTTCGAGCAAGTACCAGATAAAGTTAGTGATTTATGAAAGCTTTTATCAGCCTCCTGATGGCTTTTACAGAGTGGAACACTACATGACCCATGTGATTTGTTTTCATTTACAAAGGTGCAGAGGCTTTGAATTTAAAAATGGAACGTTTTCTTCTCGTGCCAAATGTAAACAATTTAACATCCATTTCCCATCCAGCTATTTTACCAGTTCAAAAGAGTTTATATGAATCTTATCTGTATTATATTTCCTGCTGATTGGCAGCACCTCCTACTTCAGCTGGGAAGCCAAAAATGTGCTGGCTCAGATTTGAACAGGAAAGGAATAACAAAGAAAACTGGGAAATAAATGTAATGAGTGGTTACAGGGTGCTGAAAACTATACTTATCGTTTCTTATTCTCGCAGAGTTGGTGCTGCCATATTGATTTATGCCTGGGAAGTCTTTTATGGAGACACACAACAAAAGCTTCAGATTATTTTGTCAACAAGAAAACACAGTTTACCTTATCTTCAAAGTCCCCATCTATTCCTGATTTGAGCAGTTCCATATTCCTTGCTTGCTGAGATCTCTGTGAGCCCCGGAGGAGATCTGCATTGGATACAGTAATTCACCATAAGAGATAAAAGCCCCCAGAATGTCACAGAGCTGGTTTTCTAGGCCGGCGGAATAATTCTGGGGGCACCACAAACAGTCCAGAGAACAAAAAGAATTGTGCTCTTCCAGGCCGACTTAGAGTCCGTTTACTGAGCCCCGGAGACCCTTTTTTTTTTTCCTCCCAGAATGCAAAAGACATTTATTTGGCATATTGTTTGAGGGTCTTAAGTTTCTTTCTCACATTCAAGGCCTGGACAATTGGAAAGGAGAAGAGGGAAAGAACAAAAACAGCCGTCTAGACATTTCCTAGTGGAGTATCATGTTTATAAGCCCTTTTCCTTGCCTTGTCCTAACCATACATTATGAACTGAGATAAAATACTAGATCATAAGTGTGGACTCTATTATAAGGATGACAGGCAAGGGTTATCGTTTTCTTTCCAAAATTAAACTTTAATTTTTTTTAAGATCACATGACCAACAATTGCTATTAAAAGCCCTTCTTCTAGCCACCATCCTAGAAATGTTCTCACTTGCCATTGACTTCACCACCCCACATTCCCTTACACGCTCTACCCTACCCCCTACCCACAATTTTCACTTCACTCTCAAGCTTCAATTTAATTGGACTTAATAAGTATATGGGGGGTATGTTTTTTTTTCAATAAATACCCTGCCTCTCCTGTCAATAAACATCATGACTATCACCACTATCTAACAAATGGATGCTCATATTAAAGATAAGACATAATGTAAGGTAACTTTAGGACTAATTAAAGAAGGATAGATGTAGGTGAGCTTTCTGAGGCTCTCTAGGCAAGATGTATTTGGCAGACATTGTATTATAGGTGTCCCAGGTTCCAGTCCTTGAATAAGACATGTAACCTCTTTGAGCCTCTACTTTAATCACCAATTAAATGGGGGTATGGAGCTGATAACTTGGAAAGTCTCTGATTCCTGAAAGGTTTTTTTAAGCTTTTTAAGCTATGTGTTTCCAGGAAGCTATGTCCTCGAAAACTACTTCCTGGGTATTAGATGTCCTTGCTATGAGGAGCTCAAAGTGTTTTACTGGAATACACATGTACTGATCTTCATATTAATATTTTACATCATTGAGTTCTATTGGCTCACCAAGCGTTCACCCACCAGATAACTTCTCATTCATTAGCCAACATACCGGTGCAGTGGGTAACAGTATAAACTGCCACCTTCAGTACAGTGACATTCTGAAGAGCAAATAGAATGGTGCATATGGTGGACAAATAACTGGTAAACTAAAGTTCACCAACCAGAAATTGTAACTGACATTTAACAGCAGTTTCCTAGTCTCCTGTTCTTTTCTTTACACCATGATACATGCTTTCTTTTTCTTTCTCCATACAAAGAAATACACTGATTTCCTGTCCCTGTATTTACATATGGTTTTCATTTGAAAGGTCATCGGTTATTTGGACAATGATAACAAGATATTTCATTAAAAAGTAATCTTCAAATATTGAGCAACTCCAGAGATGGAATACTCTCATTAAGTTCATTTGATGATACGCAGTTAAAATTGGAGGAGGAGGCATACCATTTCCCCAGCCTCAAAAACCCAGCCTCAGATAGAACACCTTGAGATAAGATTATGTTTCAGGAAAGTACAAGTTCATTTAAAAGATATACCCAAACTGGGGGGCCTGGGGAGCTCAGTTGGTTAAGCATCTGCCTTTGGCTCAGGTCATGATCAGCCCTGCATCAGAGCTCCCCTGCTCAGCAGGAGGCTGCTTCTCCCTCTTCTTCTCCCCCTCCCCCCACTTGTGCTCTCGCTCTCTCTTTCTCTCTCTCTCTCTAATAAATAAAATCTTTAAAGAAAAAAAAAGATATACCCAAACTGTACATTTTGCTTCTTACCAAGACACTAGTCCTTTGAGCAGTAAGTTCAAATTAAATGCTGAGATATTTTTTATATTTAACAGATAGTCTGTTAAAACAATGAATGGGTAAGTGAATAAGTTGCATCTATATTAATATACAGTTGACCCTTGAACAACACAGGTTTGAACTGCACAGGTCCACTTATATGTGGATTTTTAATGTAGTACAGTACTGTAAGGGTATTTTCTCTTCCCTATGATTTTCTTAATATTTTCTTTAGCTCATTTTATTGTCAGAATACAGCATATAGTACATGTAACATACAAATATGTGTTAATCAACTATTTATGTTATCAGTAAAGCTTCCAGTTGACTGTGGGCTATTAATAAAGTTTTGGTGCAGTCCAAAATTATACATGGATTTTTGACTGTGAAGGGGGTCGGTGCCCCTAACTTCCTCATTGTTCAAGGGTCAACTGTATATTGCACTGGTCACTGACTAGTGGGTGGTGGTTATTATGTAGCCTATTTCACCAAAGCTGGAGAAATAATATTAGTAGGTCTCATATGATTTTTTCTTAAGGTTTGTTTTCTTCTTCGAGGGTAAACCATTAGGCTTATCAGGTATACACATTATTTAGGCATTTTTGAGATTTAAAACTATACAGAGCTTTCTTAAAGTGCCAGTGTGTTAGACAGATAATCTGATGCCTCATTCACATCTGATGGAGACAACTATTAGGTTCATTTATGCCAGTTACTGGCTTGACTGGTGCCATAGAGCTAATAACTTGGTTTTCCTTGATATAAATGAGGGCATGGGGCCCACATGATCTCCCAGTTCCCTCATGGCATTAATATCCTGTGGTTCTATGAAAGCAGCAACTGTGCTTACAGAATGGTCTTTGTTCACTGTAATATGTAATGGGAAAAAAATGATAACATTTATCCATGGTTATCTTTGAGTAGTGGGATTATCAGTAATTTTAATTTAACTTATTATTTAAATTTTTTGGTCAGAACTTTTTTACAATGAACATTCATGATTTTATAATCAAATGAGACAAACTTTATTTTGTTTCACTTTAAGGGAAAAAAAACCTAACTCAAGGAAGAAAAATAAAAGGCAATAATAAAAAAATATTAGTTTCCCTATCCAGGTCTAAAGCCACGGTTTTCAGACTTTTGTGGACCCCATCCTGGAGGTTCTGATTCAGTAACTCAGAATGAGGCCTGAGCATTTGCATTTTTGCAAGCTCCAGAATCACACTTTGAGGAACTTGGGTCTAATAGTGAAGCATCATATGGATATAGTGCTTTGAGTCAATCATACTAAAAATTATTCCTTATCTGTGACTATCACACTTATAAGGAAAAATTTCTGCATCAAAAAGTATTTAACTGGGAGCACCTGGGTGGCATAGTCTGACTCTTAGTTTCAGCTTAGGTTGTGATCTCAGGGTTATGAGATTGAGCCCCAAGTCAGGCTCCGTGCTCAGCTCAGAGTCTGCTTGGGATTCTCTCTCCCTCTCCCTCTGCCCATCCCCACCCCTGTGTTCTTTCTTTCAAATAAATAAATAAATAAATTAATTAATTAATTAATAAAGGCAACCTAAGAATCATCTAGGGCTAAAGAATTATCAAAAGACTCAGATCCCCTGGAAAATGGTGTTTCCACCCACACCTCTTGGATCCATTCCTTAACCCTGGGCTTGCTGAAGCTGTGACCTCCCTCTCTGAGTTCTGCCCCCAGCACTCCAGCTAGAATCAGAAATAAAAGAAAATTTCTGTTGCACCAAGAGGCTAATTAAAGAAACCACAAAAACCTACAAGAGATTTCTGACACTTTCCAATTCTTTTAAATCTACAGCTCCTTACAGCCCTCCATGAGGTGGCCCTCCACCACGTCTTTCCCCCCAGCTCTGGAGACCTTCTTAAAAGTATGCAGAATGGATACCAGGGGCCCTCTTCAGATTGAATTCCAAACTGTCCATTACACGCCACCCCGTTATGCATTCCATTCCTTGCAGGTTTTATTAGGGGGATGTACATCGCTGAGGAAAGAGAGGACTTTAGGGTACAGTATATTTCAAAATACAATTAAACTCTTGATGGGGAAATGTAAAAGGCATTTGTATTCTATTAAAGCCTTTGGCCTTAACAACTGCAAAGTGCTCCATAACAAGGTCATTAGGAACCAGCCTTACCCAATGGGCAACAGGCATCAGCTGCACAAAAACAAACAGGGGCCCCAAACACCACAATAACTTCCCGTACCTGTTCTTGTTTGCTTGCTGAGCCCTCAAACATTGGGAGTTGCTGAAATACATAAAAGCGTAACAGCTTGAGTCAATATTTACCAGCCTAAGTGAGTGATTTTATTTAGCGAGATGACTGAACCCCTTTGAACAAATACACCTTGCAGAGTACAATCCCAGGCAGGCACTGGAGGAAGGGCTAAGGCAGACCTAGTTCTGTCCTCGGGCTGGGGCTCTGAGACTGTAGACGGGCCTTCTGTGGCCACTCGCCTGCATTTCTCTGCCACCTAGGGCAAGGGGTCCAGTCCAGGGACGAGCTGGGAGAACTCACCCCTCCAGCCTGCCCTGGCATCTGGATTCATGGTTCTCCTCATGTCACCAGAGGGCCTCATAAACACTTGTTCCTGGGCCCAGAGTTGCTGATTCAGTAAGTGTGGGGTGTGGCCTGAGGATCTGCATTTCTAACAAGTTCCCAGCTGATGCTGATGCTGCTGGTTCTGGGACCACACCGAGAACCCCTGATCTAAGCCCAGCTCTGTGTGATAGAAATGTGATGCAAGCCACATGTGTAGTTTGAAATTTTCCAGTAGGCATGTTAAAAAAAAAAAAGCAAACATAAACAGATGAAATTAAGTTTAATAATATATCCAAAATATAATTAATTAAAAATATAATCAATGTAAAGTGACTGAAATATTTTATGCTATTTTTTTTTGCACTAAGTCTTCAAATTCTAGTACGTATTTTACACTTGCTCACATCTCAGTTTGGACTAGCCATGTTTCAGCAGCTCCATAGCCACATGTGGCTAGTGGTTGTTTTATGACACAGCACAGTTCTAGACTGTGCACTGGGTATACAGAACCTAGGATTTCCCAGACCTACAGACGTAAGCCTACCTCCAGAGCCTGAGGGTCCCCACAAGTGTGTGTCTTGCTGTTGGACTACAGTGCAGGTTCAAAGTTTGTCTTGGTGCTGGGTATGAGTTGAACAGGTGAAGAGTATTGGAATAAACTTGGACATAAGGGCTGGTGTGTCTATGCACATGAACATGAGGCCCCTTGAGGTGTGGGACAGAGTTGAGGGGGTGGAGAAATGGGGCAAGCTGAGACAGAGGGAGGGAGGGAGATGGGAGAGAAGAAAAGGCAGAGAGAGAAAGAAAGGGAGACAGGCAGAGAGAGAAGGAGAGAGAACTATGATTGATTCTATTCCAGGCTCCCTTCAGTTACAGAACAATCGTTCCCATGACATGCCCTCAGTGAATTTTGCAGAAAGTTCTGGTTACCACTACACTTGCACTCTCTCACCTGTCTTTAGGCCACTTCAGGACTCATAAGAGGAGATACCTCATATGCCTTCCTGCTGCAGGGCTCCCCTTCCTGGCTTTTTTCCTCTCTTTTACAAAAGGCTTGGGGTCTAACTTGAAGGAGTGATCATAAAGAGAGTGATTACTTTTACACTGGCTGCAATGAGGAGAGGATTCTGTGAGGAGGGATTTATACATGAAAATCAATACCAGCATCAGAAAGCATCCCCTTTTGCCCATATAAGTGCTGCCCACAGGGTCAATAGCTGGAATTAACCTGGATCCTTTTTTTATTATTACTATTTTTAATAAAGCTGCTTTATGATAGACTCTGATGTGAGCTCCCACTCTGCAGCTGCACCAATGTGAAGGGAAAGAACCAACAGTTTCATTTAAGAATTATCTTTTTTCCCACTGGGTACCATACCCCACTTCCACCTCCCTCCCCCTCCAAGTCTCCAGAAAGTCAGAAGGAGAATGAAATTAAGCTTTTTATGAGATGAACTGATACTAACATAAAAGAGAATGAGCTCATTGCCCTGATTTTATAGGTTGTTTAATCTGTGATATACAATAATAAAAATTAGCTTTTGTAGGGATGGCTGTACTGAATGCTTACTGTAGGCCAGACTTCATGCTTGGTGCTTTACTTACTTCATTAATTTTTTTCAACAATCCTGTCAGAAGAAATGAGACCCAGGATGAACTAATGTCTTAAGGAAGGAATAAGTGGTTGATAGCCTTTCTCTCACCAGTCTTTTTGACTCTCCAAACTGTGCCATTTGCTGGATCGGAAAGATTGAACGGCTGGATGCTCCTTATTGGCTAAAAGAGGTGGCAGAAGCCTCATGTATCTGTGTATCTTATTCGGGCAAACGTCTGCCATTCTTTCTGTTACAGCGTACAAAGATGGCATAGTAAGAAATTGCTTTTGTGATAACCCTAGAGTCAGTCCTTGTTCCTCCATCTTTCTCACACCTCGCAACCAGTTCATTGGTGAATCCTGTTAATTCTACATTTAAAAATATATCAGAATCTGGGGGCGCCTGGGTGGCTCAGTCGGTTGAGCATCTGGCTCTTGGTTTTGGCTGAGGTCATGATCTCAGGGTCGTGGGATCAAGCCCCACATCAGGCAGGGAGTGTGCTTGAGATTCTCTCTCTCTCTTCCTCTGCCCCACCCCCCACGTGCATGTGCCCATGCTCTCTCTCTAAAATAAATAATCGTTAATAAAATAAAATATATCAGACTCTAAGAATGGTTCACTTCTACTAGTTTCACCTCCACTGGTCATTAACTTCCACTCTCATCCCCATACAGACTCCGCTCCACACGGCAGCCTAACTTATTTCAGTAAGTTAGGTCCTACCAGGTCTGTGTTTAAGATCTTCCAGTGGCTTTCCATCTCATTCAGAGTAACAACCAAATTCCTTGCAATGGCCTATGTGGCCCTACATGTTCTTCACACACACACACACACACACACACACACACTTCTGATTTCATCTTCTTCCACTTCCTTCCTTGCTCACACCCCTCCAGCTACACTGTCTCGATGCAGTTCTTCAAAGTCACCAAACACCCTCCAGCATCCGGTCCTTTGTACTGATTGTTCCCTCTGCCTGGAACATATTTTCCTTGGTTAATAAAATGGCTCACTCCCTCACTTCTATCTAGTTTCTACCCAAAATGTTTTCTTATCAGAGAGAATCCTGCCCTGACTACTGTGTAAGAAATGGCACTCTCTCATTCCTTATCATCATCTCTGAGCTGCATTTCTCTATAGCACTTTCCACTGCCCAAAATTTAAATATTTATTTGTTTCCTGTCTTTGTCTTTCTTATACTCCATCTCTCTCATCAAGATATTAGTTCCACTGAGGTTTATTTGATTCACTACCAAAACAGTTTCTGGAATAGTTTCTAACAGGCAGAAGGTGCTCTGTAAATATTTGCTGGATGAATGAATGACAACCATTTGGGAAAAGCAGATATCAGAAAAGGGGCAATAAAATGAATTTTAGGACAACCATTGGGTGCCCAGACAGTAAGAGCCTCCCCCTTAGGAGCCAGTCCTGACAGAATCCCTCAAATGCAAACTCTGGGGGATTTTCAGCACCACTTCTGACCAGGAGGTCAAGCAACACTTTTGTCAGTTTTGTATGCGGCATCCATGGCATTTGAATAAAGCAAGAGCACTGCAGTTAACAATCCAAATTGTTTCTCTTGATCCTTTGTATTGCTCAGACCTTAGAGGATAAGTTGGTGTCAGAGTGGGACTTTGGGCATGGGTGGTCATTCCTCTTTCCATTAGCTATGCTGCCTCATCTGTCTGAATCCTTTGGGGGCAAAAATATCAAGAACTACTGGACGTTTGTAAGTTTAACCAAGTCTTTGTACCAGATGGGTCCTTCAAGTTGACTTTCCACACCTTTAGCTGGGTGGGCTCATGGACTGGGCATTGAGGCATAAAGCAGAGTTGGAGAAAGCTGGTCTGCCACTCAGGGGATAATCTGAACAGGGTTCAACATATAATTCACCTCCTTCTACTCTGCTCTCTGATGTGAACCTAGCAGCCCTAAGGATGATAATGTTGCAGAAAGCCTCAGCCCTTCAAAATGGAACACTGACCAATTCAAATTGACACTTGCCAGCTAGCAAACTAAAAGCAGTGTTTACCTGCACAGACTCAGTCCCAGGCAATGTGGTAATTCCCGTCTCTCTCTTTAATGTTCTCTGGCTTTGGGGATCTTGCCCTACATGCTGGGCTATCATTATTAGTTCAATTAACCAGTAATTTTTAAACCTCCGTGTCATCTTGTTTGGTGCAGACACAGTCTCACTGCAGGTATCTGTGCCTCGTGGGTCTGAAACAATAGGTTGTATCAGGAAAGCCTGGGAGAAACGTTCCAGTCTCCCAGCAATATTAGAGTGTGTCTTTGGCTGCCATAGCAGAAGACTAGTTCACAAAGGTAATATATTCTGGGATCCTGCTGGAACGCTCAACTGACAAGAGCCCTGTTGAGATGATGTTCATTCCCCCGGGAGATTTTCTGTTTACATGTGCCTTTACTCATCTTTCAGCTGAATCAGAAAGCTGAATGGAAACTGCACTGTTTGAGAACACAAAATGGATTTTGATGCTTAAAAGGACTTTCATAGAGAGAAACCCAGACTTAACAATCTTCACATGTAGTTCTAAAACCCTAGAATTTGGGAGTTGTCTGGGACTATAGAGAATGCTTCCTATGTAGTCCAATATGGTAGTCACCAGCCATGGTGATTTGGCTATTGACATTGCAATTTAAAATAATTTATTTCAAGTAAAATTAAAAATGCAGAAAAAAAGTCTTTCAGTCACACCAGCTAGTCACAAGTCACGTGCAGTTAGTGGCTACCATATTGGACAGCACAAATATAGAACACTTCCATGATCTTAGGCAGCACTAGTTAGACTACTTCCCTCATTTTATAGAAAAGAAAACAAAGGCTTATAATGATCAAGGTCAAGTGTCTTGCTTTCTTATCTTAAAGATGGTAGCTTGGCTGCAATTAGAAAAGATCCAGTTTGTCTTATTCTGTCCTTTCATACAGGCCATCTCCCATCTCTGGTGATAGTATCAAATGTTATTCTAATAACATCCAGCACAAATATAAATGAAGGAAAGCAGGCTGGTGACACAGTTAGCCTATAAGTGTCCAAGTATGAGTGATTACAAAGTGAAATTAAAATAGAGTCAGGAAATCCTGTCTTTTCCATGAAACTCCGCAAGACTCATATGAAGAGAAGAGACAGTTTCCCCAATAGCACTGTGCTTATACGTGCAGCTCACAGGGCTGTGCTGGTTACTATGGGACTGCATTGCATATATAATTAACAAATGCTTTTTATCATGTTTCTTCGGTGTGTATAATGAATGTCATGGGGGATTTTAATTGCTTAAGTAATTCCAAGAAATCTTGGGCACATTTAGGAACATTTTGGCCATACCAACCAATAAGCAATAATGGCTACTCTTATCTTGTATATAGTAGAAACTATTTTCAATTGCCCTGTGATTCAAAGTTTGCAGTACAGCCTAAGGTGTCAAAATTGAGTGGGCTATGGTTCTGTGGTTAATGACTCTCCACACAAAGAAACCTGGAAAATCCTATGAAGCCTGGATCATGTCTCCATACAAGAATCTCTTTCTAGTCATTTGACTAGATTTCCCTAGGCACCACATTTAGGCCAAAGGATTTCAAGCTAATACTACCTTTTTTAGGATTGATGTAGACTTCAGGAAACTTCTAGAGCTCCTGAGGGTCAGGAACATTATCTTTGTTCATCTATATCACTTAACACTATGCCTGGAACACAGTGTGTGTTCAGCTACTGTCTGGAAGGAAGGAAGGAAGGAAGGAAGGAAGGAGGGAAGGAAGGAAGGAAGGAAGGAAGAGATGATATCTTTAGAATCCCATCTAGTCTCTCAAGTGGAAGAGGAAATATATCGTGGAGAAACTTAATTGTCTAATTTGGTCCCCTTTCTTCACATATATGGCTAAAGGCAATAATACTTCTTAAGTGAACACCTCCTATTTTTGCCTGCTTAACACCCCTCATATTAAGAGAAGCTGTCTCTTCCTTTGGCCACTATTTCCCCTCAGGCCCATATACTGCAGCTGGAATTGATCCTACTTTTGGCTCTAGGAATGGATACTAGACCTGGGCCTGGCAAGAGATTAGTCGATATGTGAGCAAACTACTTAGAATAATCTCCAGAGATATCAAGAAAAATAAACACTCTGCTGGTGTTTTTAAGTTGGAAAAAGTAATCCTGGAGCTGTTACTAGCCATCTCTGGTCTTTCGTTAGCCAACTCAGAGCAAAAAGCAGAGGCAAAGGATGGAGAAGGACAGATGCCTAATGTCATAGCTTGGGCATCTAGATCCAGTCTTGAACTTTTCAGTTACCTGAATTGATAAAATTATTCTTTCTTCCTCCCATCCCTCAGCTCTTTCTGAACCTGTCTTAGTTTGGTTTCTGTTCTTTGGAGCAGAAAGAGTAATGATTCATATGAACACCAATTCCCAAAAATCTCTTTTGAAAATCCCTTTTGAAAGATTACCGCCATGATTCTTGCAGCTATTAGCCTGAGTGGTGACTTCCTCAGGCTAGAGAATGCTCTGGAAAGTACAGCTTTCCTCACATTTCCAGGTATGTCTGGCTTTCCTGATGGAGATCCATTTCCGAGTAGGTGTCCTCTGATCCCCACACGATATCTCCTCTGCTTTACCCCACTCTCAAGCTCACAAATCACACTTTTATAATTTTCTGCGCAAGCCTTCTGCACTTACGTTTCCCAGGCTTTAATTTTCAAACTCATCCCATGAGTCAGCTCAGCCCAGAAGCAAGCAATGGGAAACAAGGATTTATGTGGCACAGTGTATTTTATATTTAATAACTGATCTGTCATGGCATTTATCTGCATAAAAAGTTGGGTAATTCATGAATGGGCTGGCAACCGTGGCCTCCAGTGAGTAATGTTTCCTGCCCTACATCATGAAGAACGACAGCTTGGTAGATACCAACTCTCAGGTGCTCAGAAATCTTCAAATATACTCAATAATTTTCTGTGGAAAAAATCAAAAGTAGCCTTACCAGGCAACAGTGGCCCACAGGAGCACGCCGTATGATGATCACTCAGAAAGTACCAATTAGCTGCTTCCTGCCTTGAATAGAGGAAAACAGGAAGGAAGTGTTTTGCCCTCAGGGCTTTCCTGGCAAGATCAGTTCTCCAGAGATGTACGTCAAGTGAAGAAGAGTAGCTTGGAACCCTGGTCGTTCCCTCTACTTCTGAGTCACTCCTACCTCCAGGGTGATGCAGGGTAACACAGCAAACCATGGTTAACAGTCCAAGGAGTAGTTGCTTTTCAACAATAGTGCCCGAAGAGAGAGCACCCTCTGGAGGCTTCCAGACAGAAGTCCAGCACCTTTGCTCTAGCCATTTTTCCCATGGGTAGCCATATCTGGGAGTAGCTTTAGCTCAATGATTTCAGCGGTTTCTGGAAGAAAGACATACCTGGGCAAAGCAAGGCAGCCATTATTAAAACAACGTAGGTACTGCATTTCCCACATTCTAAATGGTTCAGGAGGAATTGGCTTGAAGGTCTGTCCAGGCATCTTCACCCTCTCATGAATGAGGAACAGGAAGCTGCAGGCTGTAGTTTTATTTCTTGGGAGCAAGTCCACGGTCTGGAATTTCTACAGTCCTATGTTTCCCCACTTAACAGAGGTTGCTGTTCCTTAATCCAACCAGGAGATTAGTTATCCTGCTGTCAGAATATTTGTTGCACTTGCCTTGGGGGTACATTTTACAAGTAAGCTGCTTGTCAGCATAAGGAGCAGGAATACCAGTAAGCTTCCAAGAAATGGATGTGTGACTGCTCTTGTACCCACTTGCTAATGAATTGTGGAAGTATGACAGAATTCCTTCTTAGGACTTGATTTTGTTGATAAATACAATCTGTGAGGAGACATTAGTCCCATCTATTTATAACAGTTAGAAGCCACTGATGAATACCAAAATAACTAAAAAATTTTGAATGGGCAAACTGGCTTAAATCAAGTCTGCAATACCACCCACCCCCATTTTTTAACCCTAAATATGAGTTCAGCTTACTGGTTCTGTAATTACGATCAAGTTGCTTAATACTGTCTGAGCCCATTTATAAACTCATTCATTTATCCATTTAGCTTTTCTTCATTCACCAACTATTTATTGAAAACCTACTATGTGTTAGTAACTGCACTAATGCAGTTATGTGTTATAAAAGGGCTAGTGATACAACTTCACATAGCAATTTCAAAGGTTAAGTGAGACAAGTGAGAAAAGCTCCTAGCACAGAGGGATAGTGAATGAACTTCAACCATATACAAATTTGGAAACAAAAAATATTAGAGGGTTAGGGAGAGAAAAGCCTATTCAGGGTCCAGCTAGGTACTTAAAGCTCATGTATTATTGGGACGCCTGGGTGGCTCAGTCGGTTAAGCGTCTGCCTTCAGCTCAGGTCATGATCCTGGGGTCCTGGGATCGAGTCCCGCATCGGGCTCCCTGCTCGGCGGGGAGCCTGCTTCTCCCTCTGCCTCTGCCTCTCTCTCTCTCTGTCTCTCATGAATAAATAAATAAAATCTTTAAAAAAAAGAAAAGCTCATGTATTATTGCTAAAGACTTTGAAGGTGTATTTTTTCCCCTCAAGAATAGAATGGAGATATTAGTCTGTAATTGCCCAAAGGCCAGATAAAATGAAGTTTAAGATCAGTATCTACCCATGCACAAATATTTCCCTACTTTTCTCTGGAATCCAGTTCATTATATGAATCATATTATGGTAGAACCTTCTTATAAGGAAGGCTACCCTTTAGGGAGCATGCTGAGAGGTGCCGTAACCTCAGGTTAACAAGAGGGCTTCCCAGGCAACCTCTCTGTAACAGTCCTGAGGGACTGTGCATACACAGCACTCTGTGTATACCCTGCTCCACAAAGGCTCCCTTCCTACTTCTCCCCAGTGGGTAGTTCAGTTTACACCAAATGGATGGTCCAACAGTGCTGTTGGGTTAGTTGAAGAAATTATTTATTTCTGTGCTTTCTGTACTCTGAAAACTTAGAGTGCAACTGGGATAAAAATTTACAAAATACCAAGAAGTGGGTGGATATCCTAGGGCCACAACGAAAAGTCCAAAATTTCTTACTGGTTGTTTTGCTTGGTGAATCAATGGGGGCTAATTAAATGTCCTACTGAGAATGGGGAATCTGGTATGTTTTATAAGGCTGAATAATCTTTCAGTAGGACAAAGTGAAGGTTTGTCTTATAGGAAACTGCTGACTAATGTGAGGTGAGTGAACTCTTTGGAAAAGCCCTGAGCAAATGCAGCTGGTATGCAAGTGAGGAGCCATTTATTAACCAGCACCCTAGGTGCCCTGGTGAGGGCAGATAAATTTAGGGCAGCTATGCATTTTTCTTACTCTGCTCTCCCAAGAGTCAGGCCTTGCAGCATTGTTGAAAACAGAAGTGTTAGAGAATTCTGTATTGTAATCAGTTTCCACATAATCCTGCACTGTGCCAAAATAAAAACAGTATTCTCTTTTTTTAAGTTTTTATTTTAATTCCAGTTAGTTAACATACAGTGTTATATTAGTAGCAGGTGTACAATATAGTGATTCAACAATTCCATACATCACCCAGTGCTCATCACAGCAGGTGCACTCCTGAATCCCCATCACCTATTTAACCCATCCCCCAACAACCTCCCCTTTAGTAACCATCAGTTTGTTCTCTAAAATTAAGAGTCTGTTTCTTGATTGAGATAATATTCTATAAATGAAAAGCTTTGTGTTCTTTTTTGACCTCATAGTGAATCTTCAGAAATATATCCCTCACTCTATTTGCCTCACCTGGCCTGTTTGCATGACTTTGTGAACATAGATAGCTTTAGATCTTTGCTTTTTCTTCTTCAATAGAACTTGGCGTCCCAAAAAGATAAAGGGGGATGCTTCCAGGACCATGACTCTTCTTATCATTTCTTTTTGTCTTTGAACAATGGCTTAAAAGAAAGATACTTTATTAAATGCAAAGCAAAGGAAAGTTTCTTAATCAAATTCATCAGTTTTTATTTTTCCTTTTAGAAGTCAAATACATAAAATTCTGCTAAAGATCTTTGGAAGACATTTTCAAGGAGAGTGAATTATGGAAACATTTGTTTAGATCTCATTTTTAGAAAGGTTAAGAAGAATTTGGTTCCATCCAGGGTTTGGGAAGGATGGAATAAAGTCATCTTCATTCATTTAGAAAAATATAATCGAAAATAGTCAAACAATAATAGGACAGAAGTTCCAAAATTCACCAATTTTAAAAGTTAGTAGTACGTCTAAAGTCAGTCTCCAGGTTTACTATGAGTGCAGTGAGGGGCTATAATTATGAAGTAATTAGTAGCAAGTTAAATGCTGATAAGAATTATAATGCTAGAAAGCTACTGTGGCTCATGTTTGCTCTAAAAAAAGAGAAGCGTTAGCAAATCCAAATAAGGAACTGTCATTCCAATACATTCATTTTTTTTTTAAATTATGAAAGCCACTTTTGAACCAGTTTTAAAAGTCTAAAAATTTGGAATTGACTTTTGGAAATAATTCATGTGGTCTACATGCAATGGGCAAGATCAGTTCCAAAAGCAGCTTCTTAAAATAGAGGTACAGACTTCTTGGGGCACCCAGGCAGCTCAGTTGGTTAAGCATTTGACTCTTGATTTCAGCTCAGGTCATGATCTCAGAGTCATAGGATTGAGCCCTGTGTTGGGCTCCATGCTCAGTGTGAGTCTACTTGTCCCCCTCCCTCTGCTCCTCCCCCTTCTCTCCCTCTCTCTCTTAAATAAATAAATAAATAAATACTAGCACTTCAGGCTTCTCAAGTGATATTAGCAAAATGGTGAACTAGGAATTTCCAAGCTCTTATTCCCTGACAATAATATTGGAAAAGAAGAAAAAAACAAGGAGAAATATCTGAACTAACCTTACCAGAACTGTGGAAAACAGTCAAAGGCTTATAGCTACCAGGCCAATACCTATCAAAAAAAAGAAAAGAAGAAAAAGAAAAAGCCATCTTGAGAAGGGTAAGAAAGTAGTTTTGTGGCATTCTTACTCACTCTTGCCTTAGGAGGGAGTCCCTGGCATGGCAGTGGTTTGGGTCTTCATGCAGTAGTATTTTGATTCTCAGCTCCCTACCTCAAGCCTCAAAGCAGAATTTACTTGTAAATTATTGTGTATGTTTGTTCTAACTTTTCTGAGAGATATCTGAAGGACTGATACAATGTGCTTGTCTCTGTTTTGCCTACACTGGAACTTGGGCAGGAAAAGTGGCAAGCTCTGCTCATAAAAGCTGCAACGTAACTATAGACCTGCAGATGCCTGGGGCATGGGATTATAGGTGGAGACATACAGTAGACTACTTAAGGGTTGGAGGAGAGGCCGGGGTGAGACTCTTCGTGGGGAATTAACACACTGAAAAGCATATGAGGGAATTTAAAGCTACACACATATCCAGGCAAGATGCATGCTCAAAAAATACCTGAGAAGACCTT